GTCCAGTAGCTATTATCGCTCTTTCCAGTATTGATGGGGCTTTCCTTCCTATTCACTTATTTGAAGTACCGTGTAACATCAAAATCCTGATTATGTAATTGTTTTCTCTTTGAGTTACAGACGATATCCATCTTAGCTGCTGCTGTTGAAAGTCCTCAAACAATTTCGTTTCTTTTATCTGGCGCACTTCTTTGCGATTAAATAGCGCCACGCCTACACTCGCTGAAAATCACTTTTAACCATTGATCTTAGAAAGTAGTTGTGGCTTACGTTGAAACGCCGTCCTCTGTACGGTCGCCGAAGTTAAGCAAGGTTAAGCCTCGTCGGCCGCTTCATAGGTGACCGCTTGGGAATACCAGGTGCTGTAAGCTTGGGTGTGCAGTTGGTATAATTTACTATGATTTGGAACTATAAATCAAAGAACAGAGTTCCAATTCCAGTGGGGTTCGTTATATTCAATTACGTGCTAATAACCTTACCGCCAAAATTCTTACTATCTAAAAAATATTTTCTGGCTTTAAATAACCTGCAAAGGGTTGATATACAGTAGAAAACGAACCCTTCAATTACAATTAATATTCCATAATAGGCATAATTATATAGGTAATAAGAGTTCCTTCCCATGGACAAAAGTCGTGTTACATATTGTAATTCATTATAGTTTATTTTTTTAAAATTTTCCTTTCATTCTATCAAAGTTTTTTTTTGTTCTTATAACAAGAATAAATATATCGAGTGAGAAAATAACTTCGTGATCCTCTTTCTTTTCTGTATTTACTAAACTTGCACTCTATAAAATATGCAGGCTGATTGTTCCCAATATAGGTCTCGGATTATTAGAAAATATCACCTATGTAAAGTAAAATTTTTCACGGTATTTCCAGTAGTTATTTACCTCGGACACTGTCAAATTTCTTTTTAAAAAATTATGACTGAAAAATACAAATATTGCATTTTCATAAAAAAAAAAATATATATATATATTATTTATCTTTTCTGATTCTATGCTGCTCTGTTCTAATTTCAATTCTCTTACGACCAATATTCATTAAAATTTATTTTTGCGTCATATCAAACTGAGTGTCAAATATAGTTCCCATTTAATTTCGCTTGTTTTTTTTTATGATAGTCTTCTGGTATTTCACCGTTATCGTATATCATTTCAGCAGACCTATCTATCCCGAAATAGTCCAAGGCTGGTACTGTTGTTCTATTTGTCTTGATTTTGGTCAATGGCGACCATAAGTCATATCTGCCCGGCAAGTTGGACTTCCCAACTGCAAATGAGATTAAAACCTCCGCAAAGGGTAACACACGTGATCAGTGCTTTTCTTTTGTCGCAAGCATAAAAATCGACTATTCTTAACCTTTGGACTCAAGCATAAAATCGAACAAAACCTTCTCCTTTTTTTCATTCAGGTTTATCCCTTGTTTCCTTGTAAAGTCTACTTCAACATTATACTTCGAACGTCTATTTCTAAAATCTGAAATTTTATTGGCTATATATATATATATATATATATATATATATATATATATATATATGTATTAACCTCAATAAGAGTAGATAGGCTATCCTATCGTCTGGTTCACACTCCTCTCCGATTTTTAAACGGGAGTGGGGGTTTTATTCACTGTTCCTGTTTATAATTGAGTTTCTAGCTCCTTATAACAATTACCTAAACTGTACAATCCTAATATCTCCATCTAAACTCTGAAATTTGATATAGTAATTTTATGCATTTACCTCTGTTCTTTCATCGTCAGTTCACACTCCTCCCCTATTTTTTAAACTGGAAAGAGACGCATATCAATTGTTTCCTGTTTAGTATTCGGTTAGGTGTCGTCTAGACGCTTTTTCATTCTATTTTTCTCCCAGTAAAGCTTTACATCCATTAACACACACTAACCAGATAATGGTCTGAGAGTCTTCCCTAATCTTAATATCCCCCATGAGCGTTATGTTTTCCAAACCTTCCTTCCTCATTATGTGTCGAAGGAATTTCAACCGCCTTTACCTGATTCCTAAGTATAAACGTCTTTTCTGTGTTATTTTTACACTTCCGCTTATGGAATTCTCAGTATCCTTCTGTAGAACCACACTGCTTCGAGTTTTTTCTCCTCATCCGTGAGGAGATTTTCTAACATTTACTGCCATATAAGAAGATGGATATCATATATCAATCCACCATTTTTTGAAATTTTTCTAACGAATTCTTTCTCCTTTCTCATCGCTTTGGTTAGATTTAGGAAATGATTTTCACATGAAAAACATCCAAAAAGCTTTAATATAACTCACAATCTGCTCAACCAATAGAAAGGTACCCCAGATTTTCATCCTACAGGTGTTTTCATGTATTTTGGGTATTGCAATTTTCTCTCTTTCGTTGAATGTAGGAAATCGGCAGCATATTCATTCCATCTTTATAGAATATCTTTTTTCTATCATGTGTTTTATTTTAAGCCTTAATTACATTTATTTATTTCCAGTGAAAATAGTTGTAATATAAATTCTGTAAATAGCATCTGATTTAACAACGAGCTTATAGGCCGCCTGCGGTGGACTTTCAGCAAGTCTTCTCTAGATATTAATTCCAGGGAAAATGGTGAGTGTGGCTTGAGTATTTTTTTAAAATCTTTTTTTTTTAATTTCTCTGATTTTTTCATTTTATTTTATTACATCCTCATTTTTTCTGTTTTTATTTGATTCCATTTTCTATTAAGTTTTTCTTCGTTCTCCATTTTGTTTTATTTGTCTCCATTTTTTTTTACCAGCTGCAAGCAACTTTCTTTTGTTTTCAGCTCTTATTTTTAATTTTTTTGTTTTGTTGTAGTCATCTTACAATTTCATTTTACCATTTCTTATTCCTGTGTCTTATTCTTTGTTTTCTCTTAATTCTTCATTTTATTTCCGGCATTGTATTTTTTTTCTTTTGTTTTATTACTTTGTTCAATTGATTTCCTTTCTTTTTTCGTTTTCTTTTATTTTTTCCTTTTCTTAAATGGCCTGTTCCCCACATCCGACTGCTCCTGCAATCCTCTACATTTACAAGAGTCAGATCAGACAAAAAAATGGAGTACTGTTTTCATATATGCACAGGAGCTTCACTTTCTACTCTCATCACACCCCGAAAACTTACCCGCGTCCTTGCTGATGACGAATTATTTTCCATCATACAGTCTTATCCCAGAGACGAAATGTTGCATGCCTCTCGCTGTTCTATCGATATTTACATGGAAATTGTTAAGATGAACGACATTCCTTAGTCCAACCTGGTCTTACCTTTACGGCAAATACCCGCAATGCCACGTCCATTGAAGCGAACCATCCTCATTCTCTCAATATTCCATTGGTAAGATATAAGTTCTACTCGAGCAGCTTCTTCTTCACAGTCCGAGGCTTTCTGGAGCGTCCCCGATATGTTTAACTGCTAAAATCTAGTATCAATCGTTAGTTTTACCACATAACCCCAAAAGCTGACGATACACTGAGTAGCTCTTGGGCCTTGTACAGGCGGGACATTATTGTAAAAATCTACTAATCCATCTCTCTTCATTGGTAACTCTCTTCTGTCCTATTGCTTTCTTCTTTGGTTAAGTACAGACATATTAACCGCCCCCTAGTCTTGTGACATACATGTCTCCTTCATACAAAAATAAATTATATTAACTACCTTAAAACCGCCTCTTAGTGTGGCATTTAAGTTAGCTTTTGCGGAAAGGCACTTGATTGTGTCTTCGGCTTGTTCATAAGTTTGAGAGTTCCTAAGTCTTTGCATATTGGCAGGTTTGGAAGCTCTCCTGGCTACCGTTTGATCTGGGTTTTCATTTGTACGGCACTTTCTTATCCTCGCTGCAGCCTTGCCTCTTTTGATTGCAGTCTGGTCCTCTGTTGGCGGAGATCTCTTTTGGCGAGGCATACTGCTGCCCTAGACGTTAGGCAAAAATAAACTGCAGAAAAACTCGAAGCTGATCGCTTCTATTAAGTATTATATTAATATTTAAGCTTACCTTTTAGAAGTTCAACGATAATTCTCCTGACGCCACTTAATTTAGATATTTTGATGTACGTAGGTCCTTACCTACCTTACAAAAATTATTTTAATTTCTTAGGTGACTCTCGTTGGATTTCGCAATTAATTTCGATTATTCACAAATTTATTTCCAAGTTATAAACATTATCATACAAAAAGAAAATAAAAAAAAAACTCGCCGAAAACATTGAAAACTTGGGAAATCCAAAATTTCAGGATTTCGTGTCCGGATCCGGTCAGAGATGATTTTAGTCTAATCACGAAATTGGCCTGATTCCAAAATCGTGTGATATGTTTGTCTACGGAGCTTAAGAGTAAAAGTGAAAAAGTGTGACACATTGACATTCGCATATATTTATACAGATTGGACGTATACAGTAATTATCTAGACATATTGAAATTACCATAAAAAACATGTAAAATGGTGTATTTCCATTTATTTCCGTTTTATTTATTTATTATTTTTAATCGTAAAGCCACTAAAACACAAGGGGTTACAGGCCGTGGAAGTATTAGCAACGGAAATATTAATAATGAGCGGAAAAAGAAAATAATAATTAAGATAGATAGCGATTGACATTGCATTTAAATCGGTGAGACCTCTCGTCGCCAGTACAGTACGACGTTTAAAATCATAAAGTCTAGCGAAGAGCAATACTTGAAAAATTACAAAATATGTCACAAGACCAAGATGGAGAATGGGAAATGGACAGTTTACATCTGTCATAAATTTAAACTTAGCTAGCCACAGACACTGACCCAAACATACAGCAATATTTCTAAAATCAAAACAACACATTCTTACTTACCATTCTTACTACATCTACCATAATACCTAATTGTCTATTTGGAAGTTATAATTAGTCCCCACATGTACAATTCATTGTCTCTGGGGGGAGGAGAATAAAGCAACAAAGCGAAGAGCTCACCGAACAATTACTATGAAAGTTTTTATAGAAAAGACACAGAGAGGCCACCTAGAAAAGACACAGAGAGGCAACCTAACATTTGGGGAAAAGTGACTGAAGCCAAGCCCCCAGGTCAGGACCAATAATATTGCTGATATTTCTTCGGATTCTATCACCGATCTCGAGGGGTACCGAACCATATGTGGCAGCAATATTCTAAGCATGGACGAATGGCAGACTTATAGATATGTCAGATAGATTCTGGAGAGGAATATTGTCTCGCACGATGCAGTGAACTGACATTCTTAGCAGCTAACCAAGGAATGGATTCACTATAGTCTTTCCACTCCCATATCAGCCAAAAACTTTATCCAGCGAAGGCGCAACATGTCACTTTACGGGAGGTTAGCATCAGCCATACGGAACCGTTATCTTCCCTGTTTCTTACTCTGTAACCTTTTATTGCGATATGCTCGTGGTCTTATACTGGGCAAACCTCATTGTTCTTAATAATATTTCCCTTTTTTTTTTCCTACCTTTTTATTCGATTCCCTTTTCTTTATTACTATTTCTTTCTAATTCTTCTTCTGATTCTTTTTTTTTTTTTCATTCCTTTTTATAATTCTTCCTCTATTATAAACATGATTTATCTCCTATTCTTGTTATTCTTTCATTTTCTTTCTAATTCTTTCACATTTAGGCCCCTTCTTTCTTTGAGAATATTTTTATTCTTCAAGTTTTCTTAATCTTCTTTCTCATTTACTTTCTCTCTTTATTTGCTTTTATATTCATTCATTCCTTTTTTTTAATGATTCTTCCTTCTTTATACTCTTTCATTTCATTCTTACTTCAGTTTCTTTTTTGCTCTTTTCTTTTTACGATGAAATTATATTCAGTTATTCTTTTTTTCCAACTGTTTTCATTCACTTGTTATTTTTTCATTCATAAATTATTAGAATTAATTTAATCTTTATATATATATATATATATATATATATAAAACCGAGGATGCCTGTATGTCTGTCTGTCTGTGTGATACCTTTTCGCTCAAAATCCATCCAACCGATTTTGATCAAAGTTGGCATATTCATTGTACAACATAAGAGATAGGTTAAAAAAAATCAATACTCGATAAAGCCGATCAAAAATCGATAAGTTGAACTTTTTTCCACCGATTTCGTTCAAACTCGGTATGTAGGTTACTTATATCATGATGGGACTCAACGATACCTCATGTGTATTTCTATGCCATTGCGTTTAGCGAAAAACCGTGAAAAACAAAAAAAAATCGATTTCAACTCAAATTTTAAACTAAAATCTCTCTTAATTTTCAAGCAATTTAATAAAAACTTCCCTCAATTGTAGCCAATAATAATTTGATTGTTTAACTCTCATTTAACTTGAACAACCAACTACTGAAAAACCGTGTAAATAGTGAAAAAAGACGGCTTTTATTGGTTTCTTTCTTATTTTTTGTTGATCTTTCAACCAATTTTCATCAAACGTAACAATTGCTTTATAAATGTACCTTATTTTACATCCCTGAGAGGACATTGACAAATTAAATTTCAAAAACACTAAAATAATTGTGGTTTGAAGTGGTTCTTTATGTTGCTTGTTTTACCCTTCATATCCTCGGTTAACTTCTACTTCATAAATACAGTCTAATTCTGTTATATCAGTAACTGCATTTTTTTAATGAAAGTACTTTAAAGTAATAGAAAAAGATAGACTCTGTTACATCTAAACGTGATGCTGTTTTTGCTCCATTCTAATTGAACGCTTTTTTCTGATCAACCAGCCGTGTATGGCTGCTAGTTGTTAATATTTTGAACTCAGGTCTTTCTCATCTTTCTTTTTTCTTGCTTTCTTCTTTTAGTCTTCCTTATATTCTTTTTTTTTTTTAGTATCTTATTCTGTACGCATTCTTTCTTTAGTTTTCTTTTTTTTTTATTAATTTTTTATTTTTTTTATTTTTGTCGTGTTCACTTTGAGCTTGGTGGATTGTTTCATTGATTTTTTTGATTTTTTTTTTGTTTGGCGGCGTATCAACTTCTGTGGATTATTTAATGCTGAACTCTAAATAATTTGAACACGATTTTATGGTTTGAACTACTGAAAATTTGGAATTAATTTAAAACATAGTTCTGAGAAAACAACATTTAGAGATTTCTCTCCCCTTAGTCATATGCAACTGAAGAAATCTACCCCCTTGCAGCTAATGGGCAGAAATGTTAAACTGAATATGAAATTAGAATTGAAAAGGCTTACAATCATTATGCAACAGCTGCTTAAAATCATCGTTACATTATTTGCTTGGCATACGTGCCATACTTAATTTTATGAATTGTCATTAACATTACATAATTTATTTCTTTTTCCTTAAATTCAATTCTGTTATATTTCACTCATCATTAACTTATTTTGTTAACTATAAAACATTGAAAATAAATATTAAAACTGATTTCAGTTTTTTTTTTTTATTTTAATCTAAATATAACCACTCATATCCGGACATTGTAACCGATTCTCGATATCCGGTGGGCTTTCTAAGCCCGCTGTTGTGGATTCCGTGTTGAACAAACGCCAGGAATGAATATATGAAAATAATCTATTAACGTAATAATACAAACTTGTGAAGCAGATTAGTAGTTTCAAGAATACGGTTTAGTAGCAAAATATATATACAGTCTTTGGTATTGAAGTATCGCTGTATGACTTCTTACTGAGTCTACGTGCTCGCTCACTGTGACTCCTACAACGCTGTTACCTCACACTCACTCTTCCGGTTACCTACAATCTTTTACTCTGGACTCGACTCGACTCCTCGGTCTTGCTCGGAATTTATCGATCCACCCACGAGATTTGAATATGGCACAAGACCGGTTTAATGTGGGTATCACCGAGCCTGTAGGCTCGGCCAAAAATATAGCCTTTGAACCCGCCTAGACGGATTCAGGCCCTGTCTACCTCCCCGGACGAAACCTTGACCTTCGGCAAAGCTTCGTCCGGGTTTCTCTCTGCTAACGAAGAAAGTTCGACAGACGTCGTTTACAGTCAAAGACTGTATCACGACTCAGCTAGACTCGGAGGTCTTGCTCGCTATTCATCGATGCTCTTTTGGGTCTTCACGTCGCCGTAGTATATGTATATACTGGGTGAGTCCATTTGTATGAAAAGGGGAGAACTCCTCAACACCCGGTTGTCAGGGATTCTGCTGTATCCGACAGGACTTGTTTAATGTGCAGTTCGACAAGTAAACTTCCTTATATAATCTTGCTTCTTGTTTTCCGATGTTAAGTCTGACACTATTTTAAGAAGATTAAGAAGCTGGACATTTAACCTCTAGAATAATCCAGCTACTGGTTGCTATGAACGATTGTTTCTTATCCGTCTTAATCCTATATCAGCTATTTAAAGCCGAAATATTAAGTGTTATAAGATTTTCTTTGTGAATGAATATTCATTTTGAAGATAAATATTAATTATACAATTTTCATCAATATATATTGTAATAAATGGATTGTGGCAGATATCCAATTATAAACTCTACAAAAATAAATCGTAAATTTATATTCTATTATAACGCATTGCTTATTGCTTCTTTAGCGGCATATCAACATCTCTATGAGTCATTTAATGCCTAAATCTAAATAGTTTGTACGTAATTCTATGCTTTGAACTACAGATATTTTTTACATAATTCCACTCTTTCAGGACAAACGTATCTTTTTTAGATAGATAACTTGTAAATGAGAAGATTTTTTTATATATTTTATTGTTATCCGTTATTTATATAGACACACATGGTATAACACTTCAGTCTATATGACGGTCTGCGTATGATTCAGGTTCGATTCCTGTTGGAGGACGCATATTTTCTATGAAAATTTTCGGACATTCAGGCCGGTAAATGTTGTTAATAGTGTTTATTAACATCAGAGCATTTACTTAAATATTAGTGTCTATATAAATAACATATAAACAAAAATATATATTAAAATAATTTTCAGACTTGGTCCATTTCATAATATATGACGTCATTTGTTTACGTTCAGATAGGCTTCGAGCGGATATGAACGTTCGAGGGAAATCATGGGATGTTTGTGGCTTAAAAGCAGTAATTAATTTATGTCAATCAGACGCGGTCTTTCGTAGCTAAACTGGTATAGCAGTTTAGGCTATATGATGGTTCTGTATAGGATACAGTTTCAGTTCCTGTTGGAGGACGCATATTTTTCTATGAAATTTCTCGGACGTTCAGGCTGGCAAATGTAATTAATACTGTTTATTATGAACAGAACATTTACTTAAATATTTGTGTCTATATAAATAATATATGGCAATAAATATATTAAAAGAATTATCGGACTTAGCCCATTTCAGAATAGGTGATGAGATGGAAAAATTTTATTTTATACTTTAGTTTTGCATTGATTGTTATTTTGCTATAATAATGTATTTTGTTGATTTTTTTAAAAATAATTATATTTCTGTTTATTTTTACCATGAAAAACATTTTTATACTTTCTTAGGGTTTTGATTTTTGGTTTGGGGGTTCACCATTTGCCCACAGTTGGGGCCCTAACTGGTGTTACTACCTGGCGGCAGGGTGAACTTGGGAACAACAGCAATTAAAAGGCGGCTTCTCGATCCTCAAAATTCCGATCCCCTTGCTATCGGATGTAGTTTATCGTCATACCCAGGTCTACAGCCCTGTGAAGCGTGGGACCTCATACATTCAGTTATGTGTAATAATCTATTAATATTGATCTCTGTTTTTACTTTTCATTTTTTATTAGTTTTTCTTTTTCTTTTTGGACGTTTGTCGCATCCATCAATTTGAATATTGGTAAATTACCTCCTTTGCTGAAAAAAACTGATTAAAATATATACCAAGTGGATAAAGGCGTTGGTTAAATCCAGTGACAGGACCCAAAGACTGTGAGTTCAATACCCGGTTAAGGCAGTGGAGAACTTTCAGAGAGAAATTAACAGGAGATAACTGATAAACCGGGTATTGAATAAACATGGCACGTGGAACTAGAACAGTCTACACCGGTGAGCGAAATAAAGCGTTCAGTTCGACATTCCAACCACCTGAAGAAGGCCGGAGCGCACAACGGCCGAAACGTTGTGATAAATATGGCGAGAAAGATGAGGACAATAGTCCAAATAATGTAAAATATATACGTTTCTTGCTAATGTATTATCGGGTTACCGCCTCTTAATTTTCGAAACAGCTACTCGGGGACGTTTTCCGATCTATAAATACTCAGCGATATCTTTTTACTTTTCCGTTTATACGATAACATGTAAATCTCCCTCGGATGACGCGTCCTTTTTTTTGGGGGCGCATGAAAAATACATGCACACACACGTACGTACGCACATTCACTCACTTTAGATACTTTGAACCAAACAGTTTCTATATTCATTTCTTAAACACATTATCGTCTTTGTTAGTTGTAACCTTTGTTGTTACTACATTATCATTTGTTTATACATATAAGTCGGTTCACGTTGTTTGTTGATATTTCTTTACGTGGACTCAAATTCCTAGTCTGTTTGTGAGCATTTCAGTAGATAAGCGTGTTTATCTCTCAACGCGTACATTTGTGTATAGGGCGAGTTTTATGATCCGTTTTTGAAGCCAAAAGTAGGGGGTAATATTATAAGCAGATAATTTTTTCTTGATGCGTATAAAACTCATATATTTTCGGTCACCGGTTGCATTATACATAGGTGAAATAAAAAAAGAAAAACCTTACCGGAAGGGTTACATTTAAGTTAGCTCCTGCGGAAGGCTCTTGATTGCGCCTGCAGCTTGTTCAGGAGTTTGAGAGTCCCTAGGTCTTTGCATATTCTCAGCATTGGAAGCTCTTCTAGCTGCCGTTTGATCTGTGTTCTCATTTGCACGGAACTTTCTTTTCTTCCCTACAGTCTTTATTCTTTTGATTGCAATTTGGTCTCCTGCTGGATGAGATTTCTCTTAGGGAAGCATACTGCTTCAATTAAATATTGCATTAATTTATGCTTGCAGTTTGTAAGTTCAACAATAATTATTCTGTCGCCATTTTAACTTAAAGTCAATTTTTATACGTAGGTCCTTACTTCCCGTACAAACAATTATTTTTATTTCTTGGGTGACTTTCGCTGGATTAATTTCGATTATTGCCAAATTTATTTCTATTGGTTTTTTTCTCATCCCTAACAAGACGGGAAGCCACTAGCACGGAAGGGTTTACAGAGGATTTGGAGCGAGAGCAGATAGGAATGATAGAGGGGAGGATGAGGAGAAGGATAGTGGATAGATCAAGGCAACTGGAGATGTCGATTGACATTGCATTTGGAAACAGGAATAGGGAAGGGAGTTCCACAGGTGAGAGGTGCGAGACATGAAGCTATTGGAGTAGAAGAGGCGGCAACATTTAACAGTTTCAACAGTGAAAGGGTCAGAGCAGAATTTTCTTTTATTTTCTGTATATTCTTGAGTAGAGGGCGAGTTTTATGATCCGTTTTTGAAGCCAAAAATAGGGGGTCGTATTATAAACAGATAATTTATTTTTGTATGCGTATAAAGCTCAATAGAGTGAACGGTTGCATTATACACAGGTAACAAAAAAAAAGAAAAGAAAAATAACTTTCCGGGGTGGATCGTTAAAATTTATGCAAAAAATTAAGATGGCGCACAATATATGAAGTCGTCTTATAGACGAGTATATACGATACATCTATATTATCTTTTGCGTTTTTATTACTTAGTTATTTTGCCTTTGTCTCTTGCTAACCACATTTTATATTCTGTATGATTATTTTCTTAATAATTCTTTTATTTCTGGAAGTTTTGTATACATTTACAAAGTAGGGTTTTATCTGACGCACAATGAAAAGAAGGTACGATTCACGCCCTTTATTCACTGCCTGTAGGTCTCCGTGCTCTAAATATCCGTATGTTGAATCATGAGATTTAACTGAAATCGAAATCCAATAAATGTTGATATTGCTCAGTTTATAATGACCTTTGACACAAAAGGTTTTAACATTGAGTCTGAGTAGTCTTTTCGGCTTTACATCTTTTTTTTTTCTTTTATCGACATTTATATTTTTTTCTTCTTTTACTTAACGTTATCTCATTCGTTTGAGGTTTGTATATAACTATCTCCTTCTCTCCCAACTGATAGAATTTCCTCTTCCAATATTTACTTTTGCTTTTCTTGCTTTGTAGCATTTAATCTATCTTTCAATCCTTCATTCATTCTATCATTATTTTTTTTATTTAATTTCTTTCATTTTATTTATTTAATTACAGGTTATTTTGTTCTTTTTACTTGCGTTTTTCATTTCCTTCATTCTTACTTTCTTTCTGTTTTTGATTAAAGTTTTCTTTTGTACATCCCTTTTTCTCCTTCTGTCTTTCTTTCTTTCTTTCTTCCTTGGTTCTTTCTTTCATTCCTTCTTTATTTCATTAGATCTTTCTTTCATTTATTTGTTGCGTTTTTTTCTCTCTAACGTTCTTGCTTTTGTTCTTTCTTCATTTTTTCATTCGTTAATTCTT